TTGGTCCAGCCCAAACAACTTAAATAACATCGCTTTTGTTTTCCTAACATCATAACTAAAAACTATTGTGAATTGCCCTGCGAGGCAAACTCTCTTAAATTCGCTTGCCCTGCGAGGCAATTCTCTTAACCATCGCTTTGTTGTTCGCTTATCATTTATCACTTCTTACTTCTTCTTCAAGCTCATGCAGCTACATTGCATCGGCATTGCCGAAAATAGTTTCAGTCGCTATCAGTCTTTGCTAGTTATGAGTCGTTGCTAGATCGTTGCATTTAACGCTCAAACCAATTCGGGTTTGTCTGCGCATTCTTTCGTATTATTTTGTCCCCGCCCTTATGCCGATAAATAAACTTGTTATAATTTCCGTTGGAGCTAATTAAATACACCTTATAAAACTAAACCAAAATCTTTGTGTTATCTTGCCAAAAAATAGTTAGCGAAAAAGCTCGCTAACTCAACATTTTGGAGGCCCCGGCGAGATAATCACAAACATTCGAAGTGAATTAATTATAAATTAATACAAGCTGGATATCGGTGTAATTCGGAGGTCGTTGGCCGAGTGACATTTTGCCCTCTGTGCAAGTTTCGCTTGCGGTATTATCGTATGTTCTTTCTCCCTTTTGTGCTACTTTCGTTTGGTTGAATACAGGGTGTCTTGCCTTAAGTGAAACATGTCGGTCGAAGACAAAACCCTTTCGCCACAAACTCAAGCTACCTTTTTTAAGCTTAAAGCCGAATCAATTTGGCAACGAGCCGAAACAATAAATAAGCAATTAACAGTGAGGGGGACGGTGGTCCAGCAGGTAGAGCGCTGGCCTCCGGTCCGGAAGGCCCGGGTTCAAGTCGAGCCCCAGGCTCCCCGAGAAAAAGAAACGGTCTCTTTTTCCAAATCTCCACCACTTCTATGCTCTATCGCTTACTTAACATTAGTAACAAAGTTCGGCTCCCCGGACCCGCACACCCCCTCGTCCACGTTACTATGGACCCAACAATAGAATTTTCGTCACTCCTAGATGGCGCCAGGTGGCATCCCCACCGCTAGGATAAGTCGCTACTGGCTTATCACCGGTACGATCGAAAATCAATGATAACGAATCCTCTGCAAGAAATTGTAGAGGCTCTAAGCTCCCGGGTGGAGTAAAAGAATGTAAATTTTAACAGTGGAAATGCTTAGAGGCATGTGTGACAATGATCTTAGTGTGCGAAAAGACCTTCTTAACAAACTAAGTGATTGTTTTTGCCTGGCTCATGACAACTTAGAAAAGGAAGACTATAATGAAATCGTGTAGGGTACAAATGTATTTATTAAATGTCTTTATTATTGTTTTTATTATTATAGGGTACAAATATATATTTATTAATCGTCTTTATTTTAGTTTTTATTAATTGTTTTTATTCTGTATATTACACTGTTTTAATTAGCTTATTTCGCAATCTTTGGTTTTCGCGTCCGCACTCTTTGCTTGCTTGATCAGAATTAACTCCTTCCCCATTATCGCTCTCTGCTCTCACATTTCAGAGTTGCATTTCAATGCCGTTCGGGTATACACACAATAGAAAACGACTTACATACTTAGAATATTATAACGGCATACAATATTTAGCTTATACATATATATACTTATCCCTTATTAGAGTAATGCGTAATTATACATATACATACATACATGCCTGCCTTCCTGACTTATAAGATCACCTGATCTTAATAGTTATAATTATTTAATAATAAGTTTTTATTTGTGTCTTATCTTTCTTTCCCAACCCAATGCTTTTCATTTTGGCTACTCCATATTCCTTTGTAAGGATTTCGGGTCAACTGGAAACCCTCAACGTCTTTTATTAAAAATCTATAATTTCTTAAGATTTTATCAATCATACATATATGGGCTTTTATGTTTTGGAATAAGTTTTCTTGATTGCCCAGGAGTGCTGTCAAAGTTTTTTTACCATTATATAATCACCTTCTTTATACTGACCAACATCTTTCCTCTTTTCATTATACTATTTTTCGTTTCTTGATTGCGCTTCTTTTTGATTTTTTTCCGCTTTGTTTCTAATTGTGTTTAAATCTCTACTTTCTTCACTATCATTTAATTCATCAAGTTTTTCTTTCAGTTCATCTATAATTTTTCCTTTTTGTTCAACTCCGTACAACATCTTACTTGGAATTTGCTTAATACTTTTTGCAATGTATTGTTAAACGAATATTCTACATTTTCAATTACTGTGTCCCAGTGCATACCTTTTTCAGACTCCGTTAACTTGGCGATCATAGGACCTAAACTTCGGTTCACCCTCTCTACCTGTCCATTGGCTTGAGGGGACCCTGTTGCTATCTTTATATGTTTTATATTTCTTTCATCTAAAAATTGCTGAAATTCCGCTGACGTGAAACAGCTACCCCTGTCTGATACAATGCATACTGGTCTGCTATAAGCACGAAAATAATCTGATAGAGCTACTATAACTTCTTTAGTTTTCGTGGTTTTTGTCGGATATAATCTTATAAACTTTGTAAATGCGTCTATAACAACAAACAAATGCTTCTTTGATCTACCTGCCTCTATTGGTCCGTAATGATCTATATGTATCAACTCAAAAGGTTTATTGCCTTTTAGAATGCTATGTAAAAATCCTTCGCCTTTTCCAGCTTTAGGCGAAAATGCCACACATCTCAAACAATTTTCTATGTGTCTAAGAACCTTTTCCTTCATTTTCGGAAACCAATATCTCTTAATAATTGCATTCATTACTTTGTCTCTGCCTACATGCCCTAACTCGTTATGATACTTAAACAACACCGGTTCTTCCATCTCCTTCGGAACATAAAATAATAATCTACTATCATTTGTTTTTCTGTAAACGACCCCATTTCTCATCTCAAACAGTTTATCTTCAGACTTTTCTAATTTTTTTATTATTTCCTGTAATTTAATATCTCTATGTTGGCAAATTACTAAATTATCCTCAAAACTATTACTTTCTACTACACCTATATTTGAACTTCTGCTTAATGCATCCACATGCTGCATCCTTTTTCCTAGTCGATGTTCTAAATCAAAATCATATTCCAATAACTCTAACGCCCATCTAGCTATTCTTGGATTTAAATCCACTTTATTTAATGTTAATGTTAACGAATTACAATCTGTGACTACTTTAAACTTTTTTCCTTGAACATAAATTCTAAATCTTCTTAATGCGTAAATAATTGCTAATGTTTCTAGTTCGAAACTATGAAATTTGGCTTCATCTTTTGTGGTGGCTTTTGAAAAATAAAATATAGGGTGTAATTTTTTATCTTCTTTTCTTTGAAACAAAACTGCTCCAAACCCTAATTTACTAGCGTCTGTGTGTAATTCTACTTCATCTTTATAATTATATAATGCTAAAACTGGTGCCTCTATTAACTTATTCTTGAGATTATTAAAACATTCTAGTTCTTTTTCTTCAAAAACGAAATCTTTATCTTTTTTAAGTAAATCATACATTGGCTTAGCTATTGTCGAAAAGTCTTTGATAAATCTCCTAAAATATGGACATAATCCTAGAAAACTTCTAACTAAGTGTATTTTTGTCTGGAATAGGAAAATTCTGAATTGCCTCTATACCTTTACTATTTGCTTGAATACCTTTTTTTGTTATAACAAAACCTAAATACTCTACCCTAGATTGCAAAAATTCGCACTTATCCATCCTTAATTCCAATTTATTTGTTACCAATCTATTAAAAACTTCTTTCATGGTTTCAAAATGCTCTTCTATATTTTCACTAGCTACCATAATATCATCCATATATATAATTACTTTATTTTTCCGAATCATATCAGCGAAGATTTTGTTTATGAATCTTTGAAATACCGCAGGAGCGTTTTTTAAGCCCATCGGCATTCTCAAAAACTCGTATTGACCTAACGGTGTGATAAATGATGTGTATTTAACCGACTCTTTATCTACATAAACATGAAAATATCCGTGCTTTAAGTCTAATTTTGAAAATACTGTTTTATTAACAAGCTTGTCTAACAAATCGTCAATTAACGGCAACGGATAATTATCTTTTATTGTTATTTTGTTCAATTTCCTGTAGTCTATGCATAATCTTAAGTCCCCTGATTTTTTCTTTACTAATACTATAGGTGATCCATATTCCGATTCACTGGGTCTAATAATTTCTTTTTCTAAATATTCATCCAACAATACTTGAAACTTTTCTTTTTCCATGTAAGATAATCTTCTTGGGGAACAACTAAACGATTTAGCATTTTCTAAACTTAATTTAATCTCACACTTTACCTCAGGATTCTTAGGTCTTTGCTTATTAACATATTCATCTTCTAATATTTTAATAAATTGACGACGAACATTGTATTCTACTTTTTCATCTATTCTATAATCAATCTCATCCTCTACTACATTTATATTTAGTAATTCCCTTTCCACTTCACTTAAATTTTGTTCATTTTCATTTACACAATCACTTTTTAGAGAATCATCATAAACTTCAGCTACTTTACAACCATTTCTATCTTTATCATACTCATATTTATCAGCTTCATAAAAATCCTCATCTCCTTCAAAACAATTTTCATCTTTCTCATAACAATTTTCATCTTTCTCATAACAATTTGCATCTCTTTCATAACAATTTTCTTCTCTTTCATAACAATTTTCTTCTTTTTCATAACAATTTTCTTCATCAACATATTTTTTAACTTTCATTTCCACCGTAACTAATTTTAAAGTGTTTAGATCTAAGTTTAAGTTGCATGCTTCCATAAAATCCCTTCCCAGAATAGCGTCATGACTGATAGATTCTTCGTCCACAATTAACAAATAAAAATATACTTTATTCAGATTTTTAATAACGTAACATAATACTTTTCCATGTACTTTTAAATGACTTTTGTTTAAACCATAATATATTTTATTCTCCGGAAGTATTTTAATCTTATTTGGTACTTTATTTATTTTAATAAAAGAAATTGGGCTTCCCGAATCTATGAGGCATTCTGCAATCACAAAGTTATTAAAATCTTGTACAAAATGAATTTTTACATATCTTACGTAATTGTTTTCAGCTCTCTTGCATGTATTTTTATTTTTGGGGCATTGTCCTACCCAGTGTCCCATTTCGCCGCATGCATAGCACGATCCAGGTTCCCTTTTCGGCTTGAAACAGTTCCTGGCGAAGTGACCTCTAGCGTTGCAATTGTGGCATCGAATTTCCTTTCCATTGGTTTGGTCCATCGGAGTAGTCTTCTTCTCGAACGATACTGCTCGCTTTGCTGGCAAACTTACTTCCGAAAAAGCACGTCTGATATGCGAAATATCACGGAAGCATTGAATTCGCGCCTGATTGCGCAAGCCTTCGTTAGGTATACCCTCGATGATGCGGTCCAACAACTCCTCCTGATCCAGACTGACATTTTGAGCTAGCATTAACTTTTCATCCAAGTATTTCCCGAATTTCTCAGAAGACTGCCAAGTACGAGACTCAAAATTTCGACGCTCCTCTAGCTTAGACTGCGTATTTCCAAACATTGATATCATCTGTTCGCATAGTTCATCCATTGATTGCAAGGCCCGATTTGGGTTTTCGTATAGCCACTCATTAACTTTGCCCTTGACCTTGCTTACGAAGAGCATACGCATTTGATTTCCAGAAATTCCATAAATACTGGAAATGTTTTTCATTTGCGCAATCCACTTACGAGCACAAGTTTGTCCTTCGTATATGCCTAATGCTTCATTCGTCATCTTCCAAGAAATTTCGTTGTTTTTGACTCCTTCTGTTTCGTCCGCATTCATCTTCAGATCTGACTTCTCCAAGTTTGTTCGTTTTTCTCCTTTCGACTGTTCCAGAACATTCTGATCTGCAGTCAATTTCAGCTCAATGTTTTGCATTAACTGTCGCAACTCAACAATGATCCTGTCATCTCTTTCTGGCTCATTCAGTTCAACCAGTTTGCGCCCGTCTTCTTCCTGGTCGTCATTCTCTCCATGCTCGTTCTGAGAAACCGTTTTTTCGTTTTCGTTTTCTTCAGAATTTGCACCATCGTCACTATTTAGCATTTCATTTACAACTTTTTCATCGATTTTATTGTTTATGTACATTGTGTTCAAACGCAATATTAGTTCGTCTTTTGTGCCTGTTGTTGGCATTTTAAGCACTTCCAACCACCTTTTTAGTTGCACAACCGATACGGTGTTTAAATCCAAGATGTTATCCATTTTGGTTACGCCCACTTCTGAATTTGTAGGATACAAATGTATTTATTAAATGTCTTTATTATTGTTTTTATTATTATAGGGTACAAATATATATTTATTAATCGTCTTTATTTAAGTTTTTATTAATTGTTTTTATTCTGTATATTACACTGTTTTAATTAGCTTATTTCGCAATCTTTGGTTTTCGCGTCCGCACTCTTTGCTTGCTTGATCAGAATTAACTCCTTCCCCATTATCGCTCTCTGCTCTCACATTTCAGAGTTGCATTTCAATGCCGTTCGGGTATACACACAATAGAAAACGACTTACATACTTAGAATATTATAACGGCATACAATATTTAGCTTATATATATACTTATCCCTTATTAGAGTAATGCGTAATTATACATATACATACATACATGCCTGCTACAATCGGTAGCCCATTACGCGATAATTTCGAAGAACTTATAGCCACCCTAAAGGTCCGCGTCCGAGCAGAAATTCGCAAACGCAATTCGACTGTGCCTTTATCGTCAAAATTTCGTGCAGAAGATCCATTTTCGTCTCATTCGATTTTTGTGACTCAAAAATCTCGATTGCCGGATCTTAAGCTCCCAACATTTAGTGGCGGCTACACTCAATGGGCCGATTTCCATGCCATGTTTTCGACGATCATCGACAAGGATCCTGGCCTTTCCAACATTGAAAAACTGCAGCATCTGCGCTCCTGCCTCAAGGATGCGGCCCTTGACACCATAAAATCACTGGAAATCTCTGACAGCAACTACAGTATCGCTCTTGAAGTATTTTAATAATAAACGCATTGTTTTTCAGGCACATGTTGCACAAATCTTTGGCCTAAAGACGATCGAAGCTGGGTCAGTTGGCAAGTTAAGAGAACTCTCTGATAGGCTTATCAGTCACATGCGGGCTCTTCAAGCATTGGGCGATCAAGAGCAAATTGCAAATTGCTTCATTGTTCAAGCCTTGGTGCAAAAGCTAGATCCATCTACCCAAGCCAAGTGGGAGGAGTCGTGCTCTGTTGATAAAATACCATCGTGGGAGGAGTTTTCGAAGTTCCTGGAAAAACGTTGCCAGACGCTAGAGAATGTAGAGCTTGCCATGGCTACCCATTCATCCAGCCACTCATCTGGAAGGAAAAATCGTTCTAGCAAGGCCCTACTAGCTGCCAGTCCATCACGATGCCGATTCTGTAGCGATACCAGCCACTCCATATATACGTGCGCGCGTTTTGGTAATCTTTCCCCAGCACTAAGGCTGAAGGAAGTAAAGAAAATGTCCCTGTGCATCAATTGCCTTAAAGACGGGCACCAATTGCGCATGTGCAATTCTAGCAGCTGCAGAAAATGTGGATCCAAGCATCATACATTGCTTCATTTGACTTAGCTTCTTCCTCTTTCGAAGGACCTCAAGTTTGCAACTTTGTGCTCTTGGCAACTGCTAATGTTTTTTTTAAAAACAGAGCTGGTAGTTCAATACCTTGTCGTGCCATACTCGACTCAGGCTCGCAAGTTCACATTATAACATCTAGATTCGAGCACCTTCTTCAGCTCAAAAGGATTAAATCGGCTGCTGCTGTACCTGGTCTTGGAGATTCTAGCTTCAAAACTACAGGATATGCTGTCCAGCTGAGTATATCATCCAACTCCACCAATTACTCTGCAAGTATTGAAGCCGTGGTTGCATCCTCCATTGTCAACGATCAGCCTAATTTCAATTTCGATTCATCGCCATAGAATATCCCGTCAAATCTACCATTGGCTGACCCAGATTTCAACAAGTCGAAGAGGGTTGACCTTCTCATAGGAGCAAGTTTGTTCTACGATTTGTTATGTATTGGACAAATCAAGCTTGGCCCCCATCTTCCCACGCTTCAAAAACTCGACTTGGATGGGTTGTCTCTGGTGGCAGCACAAACTTGCCACACTCTCGTTGCCTCTCAATCTATTTCAGATAAAATGCCAGAGCCTGAAGATCGAATTGATGATCTTCTGCAGCGATTTTGGGAATCCTGTCCATTGGAAAGCTCGAAATTCACCAAAGAAGAAACGGAATGCGAGGACCATTTCCAAAACACCTTCTCTCGACTACCCTCTGGTGAATACGAAGTTCAGCTACCGAAAACTGGAAAAATCGATGGACTTGGAGAGTCATACCAGCAAGCATTTCGCCGTTTTCTCAGCTTGGAGCGAAAGCTGGAACGCCGTCCTGATGTCAAGGAACAATACTCTAACTTCATAAAGGAGTATCTGGAACTCGGTCATATATCGCTTTTACCTCCAGATGACAGAATGCACTGCAGATTTTTCCTCCCGCATCATTGCGTCTTTAAGGAAAATAGCACGACCACCAAACTACGTGTCGTATTTGATGGATCAGCAGCTTCATCATCTGGAATTTCGTTGAATGACACGTTGATGGCAGGACCTACCATACAGGCTAAGCTCTTCAATATTTTAATCCGTTTTCGTACATTTGCAGTTGCTCTCACTGGAGATATTGGGAAAATGTATCGCTGTGTTCGAATAGGTAAGTGACCCGCTTGGACTCATAAGCCCGGTTATAACCAAAGCCAAAATCTTCCTACAGGAGCTCTGGAAGGAGAAGCTACACTGGGATGAAAGCTTGCCCGAATCTTTAAACTCAACCTGGTCCAGTATATGCCTACAGTTTCGCAGCGTAGAAAGGACGACATTTCCCAGACTCGCACTACTACCAAAGGGATCAATCGAGATTCATGGGTTTTGCGATGCTAGCTTGCCTGCCTATGGAGCATGCGTATATATTTTATCCAGATCTGCTGACAAATCCAATGCCCAACTATTGTGCTCCAAGTCCAGAGTAGCACCCTTAAAGACTCTGTCGATTCCGAAGCTTGAACTGTGCGGAGCGCTTCTGTTGGCCAATCTTCTAAGCGAGCTTCAAAAAATGGATATATTTTCAGGTCCATACTTCTGCTGGTGCGATTCAACCGTAGTCTTAGCTTGGCTGAATAGTGAGTCATCCCGATTCACAACTTTCGATGCTAACAGAGTAGCATCCATCCAAAGACTGTCTGCCGGAATGGAATGGCTTCACATATCTACTACACTAAATCCTGCTGATATCATATCCAGAGGAGCCTTGCCCATGGAATTGAACGCGTCCGATCTCTGGCTTCATTCTTGCTGCTACCGCAATCCAGCTCGCCGCCATCCCCTGCCCAAGAGCAGTGCTTACTTGAGCTGCGCAAGGCAACGTGTTTGGTTTTGACGTCAACCATTGATCTGACATCTAAGTGAAAGTTTGAAAATTCATTTCCTGCTATGCAGCGAATTTTCTCATACATATACAAATTCTTGTTTCGACTTAGATCACCCACTCTGACTGTTTCAGATTTACAGAATGGTACACGCCTCCTAGTTCGAGCTGTGCAGCGAGCTACCATGTGGGCTGACTTAAAAGCAATTTAGGCCAACCATGTCCTGAATACATCAAATTGCCTGTCATCGCTGTCCCCATTTGTTGACGATTTTGGTCTTCTACGACTCGGAGGTAGACTATCAAACTCAAGTCTGCCCTTTGACTCTCGTCATCCAATGATTCTGCCCAGGAAGCATCCAATCACTTCGGCTATCATCAAGCACTTCCACGAAGAACGCCTTCACGCAGGACCTCGTACGTTGTTGGCCAGAATCAGACTCCACTATTGGCCCATCGGGGGAGAAGAACAGTAGCTGCTGTGGTCACCAAGTGTATTCGCTGCTGTCGTGCTCGGCCACGTACACTTCAGCATGTTATGGCAGTCCTGCCAAAGGAACGCGTGGATTCTTGCAAGGCCTTCACTATTACTGGAGTGGACTACTGCGGCCCATTCATGTATAAGCCTGAAGGACGCAAACGCCAGCCGTTGAAATGCTGCATATGCATTTTTATATGCTTTGCAACCAAGGCAGTGCATATGAAATTAGTGGCTGATTTATCCACACCAACATTCTTGGCAGCCCTCAGACGATTTATTGCAACAAGAGGTCGTCCCAAATGCATTTGGTCTGATAATGCAACCAACTTTACCGGAGCCAAGAACGAGCTTGCCGAACTTCGTCGTTTATTCTTAGCTGAGGACCATCTGAAGGCAATCGAGAGCTTCTGTCTAGCAGACACCATCGAATGGAAATTCATTCCACCCAGATCGCCTCACTTTGGAGCAGGGACCGCAAATAATTATTATGAGTTTAAAAAAATTGAAGCTCAAAATAGTCTCCAAAAAAATTGGAAAAAATTGTCATAAGTTAAATTTTCATGGCGAATTCAAAAACAAGATAAATGTTTTTTTTTCAATTTTAACGAAAAAAATTGATTTTTAATACTTAAAATTAATTTTAATAATAAAAAATTAGTAATAATTATTAAGTATCAATTTTTATATAAAAATTACGCAATAACTTTTATTTTCAATTTTTATTATATAAATTGAAAAATAAAAATTATTCGATAACTTTTATTTTAAAAATTGGAAATAAAGATTGAATCTATATATATATACATACTTATTATATACCATCTGAAAGGTGTTGATGTGTAGATCATATATATATCTCGGAGGATATGGTGGAGGCGACGGAGACAAAGGTGTATCTTTTTCCATGATTGCTTTTAATAGAGTTTGGCACAGCAAGTCGCCTGTGTGTTGTTCACTGTCGCGTGGCTTTTCCAAAAGTGACCTGTCAGCAGTCCTTTTAGCCCTCTCGCTTTCTTCTTCATTTTCTCATTCAGCACATTCCACCTGTCATGCTCTTGCTTTACGCTCTTCAGCTGAACAATACCAGGCGCCATGCTCATTTGGCTTACACACCAATGCACAGTGGTCGGGCTTGTATGGAACCGCGGCCATAAATA